CCCAAATAGGGCACCTTGTAGTATGAAGTCAGGCTCATCATCTCTCCACTGGGGAAATATGCAAGTTTCCCAAAACCTGGAAGTGTGCATGGAGCTACTCATACACCTCCCCCCCCGCCACTACTGTCATTCATCCCTCTTAATTTGTTGACAAAGCAATGTGTGGCCCATTGGGTGTCTTAATAACCCTTCTACTTCTGCATTTCTAGGCAGGTCGTTCAAAGAGATTTCTTGAGCCACTGGTGGGCTATTGAGTGGATCACACTCAGATTTATTCTCTGCTGTGCAGAGGAGCAAAGGCTAATCTAATGAAAGTAAGTTTCAGGAAAGTTGGTAGATTTTGGTTGAACATTAGGAGAAGCTTGTTAACACTAAGAACAGTTTGACACTGGAACCAATTACATATGATGCAGGGAGCATACTCTCATTGGAGGGTGAACCCGATTACCTCCAAGGCTCCCTCCCTCTGTAAGGAGTGTCAGGCTGTGAGGCCTATTGAAACTGCAGCCCACAGTTTATCTTCTCTCTGTTTTCTTACCTGCTGTTTCCTGGGTTGAGGGCTCTGTATATCTCTGTGAAAGACCGATCCGGCGAGGGTCCTGAGCCTGCATTGTTGGGTACAGAGGCTCTTGATGAATGCCTAGGAATGAATAGCTCATTTGGGCAGACCTTGTGTGGCGCAGGTCGCTTCCTCAGCAGAGCGCTATCTGCATCTCATAATTTACCCTGACACTCAAGTTCCCAACGTCCTCCTTCATTCCCCCTATGTGTGCTATGAATAGCAAGAAAGTGCAGTTATGTTGGAAATTCAGGGCATGGCCCACACAGCTCATGTTTATGGGGCCGCATGCACACTGTTGCCTAGGGTGACTAGCAGCCACAGAGGAGGAGACACCTGTCCCTTTAACCTTAGGATAGAACAGGGGATTTTGGCATGTATGGCTCGTTATTTCACAATGCTGAGGGGGTAAGGACAGCCTGCCCCTCCAGATCCTGCAGTAGCAATGAGGCACAAAACTGTTCGGCACACAGTTGAGCACCAGCAGTGGTTCGATCAGCCATGTGTGGGAGGGCACAAGATTAGCCTGTGGGCCAAATGTGGCCCTCCAAACCTCTGCACCTGGCCCTCAGGACTATTTCCAGGACACACACCTCACTGGTCCTGCTTCACACATTAGATTTTATTAACTAACTCTTACTCAGAGTAGACCATTTGAAATTAATGGTCACAGCTAACTTATGTTCATTAATTTCAATAGGTTTTTATTTTTTTGCAGTGCCAGGAAAGCCCTCAACCTAAAAAACGTTCATTATCCCTGGTATAGTAGAGAGTATATCAGACGTGGCCAGAGAAAGTTAAATACAACCCATTAAGAGGATCTAAAAATGTTTAATAAACTTCACTATCATGCCATGCTATTCTGAAACATCAGGTTTCACCCCAAAGCTGATGCTGTTATGCTGCAAAGAGTTTCTTTGCACATCAAGCTTCTAGGCTCAGTGTTTCTCAATCAGGGGATATCCCCCGCCGCTGCCGCCCCTGAGGGGGAGCATATGAATATGTTGGGTGGGTGTGCATTTCACATAAATATGTAGAAGATATGTACAAAATTGAGAATAAAAAATATGTAGTGTTATGTTCAAAAGGCGAGAAGATCATACACAGATGATTACTTGAACTGCATGTTATCACAGGTGCACAGGTGCAGCATTATTTCACAAGCAGTGCAGTGTTCTATATACACAGCAGTTGGTTGTGCATGGTGTGGTTAATAAGTCACATGCTTAGTTGTACTGTACATTGTCATTAATTCTGAGAACTTTGAACATACCCTACACTGTTGCTATTACATATCAGATATACTCATACGTATCTTTTTTAGCCAGAACCTCATCTATTTCATCTTTGCTTCATCACATCCTTGTAAATACCCTTAAATTACTAATCTATTTTTTTTCACCTAAGGCCTGTTTTGCATCTTGTGTTTCTTCTGCAACCAGTCTGTGGTAACACTCAGCCAATGTTGGCTTATTATAATGGATGTAAAGATAGAAGTTTTCTGTTTGCACAGATTAGGGCTGCCGTATGTCCAGAATTTCCCGGACATAGTCGAGACTTGTCTATCAAAAATGCCATCCGGGCGGAATTTTTAAAAAGCGGCTAAGATGTTCAGGAAAACCCAGGCATATAGCAGCCCATATCAGAAGTGTTGAATTTTTTTTGGCGATTTTCCTAAAATATAGGTTTAAAAATTTTTGAAATATGGCAACCCTAGCACAGATAGTCGGGCCTTGCTTTTACTTTTGAGCACATTTGCACTTATGAACCTCTTGGTATCAGCACTATGGGGTTTGGCAGCTAGTAGGTGTGTGTGGATTGTAGCAATGTTATTGTAATTTGGAAACCCTTCAGAGAATTTGACCTTGTCCCTCAAAGCCATTGAGTGTATACTCTCAACACACTCAGTGTCCAGTATTTCATTAATGAAAGCAGATGTTTATATTTTTGCTTTATGGGAGGAGTGCTACACTAAAAGAAGTATAGTGTCCTGATGTAGGGAAGTAATATTCCCACTCTACTCTTCTTTGATCAGACCGGACCTGGAGTACACCTGGAGTGTCCAGTTCTGGGTACCACAATTTAAGAAGGATATTGACAAGCTGGAACATGTGCAAAGGAGGACAACCAAGATTATCAAGGGTTTGGAAAGCAAGCCTTATGAGGAACGGTTGAGGGGAGTTGGGTATGTTTAGCCTGATAAAGAGGAGACTGGGAGGAGATATGATAGCCATCTTCAAATACCTAAACAGCTTTCACATGGAGGATGGAGCAAGCTTGTTTTCTCCTGCTCAAGAGGTTAGGACCTGAACCCACAGATTCCAATTACAAGAAAGGAGATTCTGACTAAACATCAGGGAAACCTTTCTGACAGTAAGAGCTGTTTGGCAGGTGCTTCTCCTTCCTTGGAGGTTTTTAAGCAGAGGTTGGATGGCCATCTGTCATGTGTACCCTTGTTGAGATTCGTGCATTGCAAGTGGGGGGGTAGACTAGAAGTTCCTTGGAATCACTTCCACTCTACAATTCTATGGTTCTATATAAGGGCAAATATAAGTTGATTTGTCTCATTTGATGGTATTTTAAGACAATCTCACCAGCATTTACTTTAGTAGATCAATTGGGATTTTTAGTAGACTTGAGAACATTGGAATAGGTTCAGTGAAGATTTGTATCTCACTGTCCTTCAGTTTGTCTGGTGGATCTGCTCTATAGGCTAAAACCAAGCAATACAACAGACTGGATGTGGAAAGTGACATAAGATGTGCTCTACCTTCCACTGTGCCCAGAATCCAAAGCTGGTGATGAGCTTACAGTATCGATGCTCACATTAATAATGTGATGGATGGATACACTGGGACCTGACTCTTCACTGTTGAATAAGGAGGGACCAAAGTTCAGCTTTGCATGCAGAAGGTCTGAGGTTCAACTCCTGGCATCTCTGGTTAAAAGGAATTGGGTAGCAGATGCTGATAATGCCTCTTTCTGCCCCAGAGTGATGCTACCAGTTAGATGTTCTCAAACTGCAATCCATGGACCGCTGGTGGTCTGCAAGCTCCATTCGGCTGTAGAAAAGTTTTTTAACAGTTCAGAATATCTATCCATACTTTACCTTGCAATCAATTATATTTTTTTCTGTTGGAGATCAAGACTGTTTGGACCAGGGCCTTTATCTGTAATGTGGTATGTTCATTACTTGCCACCTGTCAAGTCCAAATATAGAAACAAGTTGAATGCTGAATCTCAAAACATCCATTGAATTAGGAAGGGAAAACTGCAGTTATTAAATTATGAGTAATGTATGTGCTTTGATTTGTAGAAAAAAGGTTTATTTAGTGGTATGTTGCAACACGCCCCTCCCCGTAATTTTCAAGTGACCCACCTACACACAAAAAAGTTTGAGAACAGCTGGATTAGATGAACAAATAGTCTATTGTGATTTCAGGCAGCATCCTATATTTTGTTTATTTAAACATTTATATATCTCTTTTTTCCTCTCAAAGCAGTTTGCAATCTCCAAAAAATAAACCAACCACAAACCCAAGTCCACTTAACAATAAAATATGAAAACACAGAGTAGGACACAGCTGAACAATAAACCAGCTTAAAAATGGAGTTCAGAAACAATATAAAACCTAATACGGAACATAAAAACACTATTACGTACTAGTAAGACATAAAAACCAACAAGAGTAAAAAACCACAGAAATACGAAATGCTAATTTGGGAATTGTAAACAGAGCCCATTGAAATTTTGGAGTGTGTGTGATGTGCATGCTTTGCCATCATGTTTGATTTAATGTCTCCTTCACACGTGCAAGGCACTGGCTTGATGATCGAGTGACAAAACTGGCACGTGTGAAGCACTACCAAAGGCTGAGTAATTAGTGAAGAGCGGCCAAGTGGCATTGACCACGCATGTCTCCATGGACCAGTCCTGAATTATTTGAAGTGCATCCAAGCCTCGCCCCACCGCAGCACTTCGACGCCGTTTGCTGCGGGAGCCCCCCAGAAACGACCGTGCAACCCCCAGCTCGGGAGGCGAGTTGGAAGCTGCTTGTTTTCTCGTCCTAAGACCCGGAGCTGAAAGCACTTCTCACCATCAAACAAAGCAATTCTCTCTCTCCAAGCTCTGCAACCCGCCTCCGAAAGGTTAGGTCCGGAGGCCACGCTGGAAGTGCTTCTTAGTGAAATGATTGGGAAATCCTGCATGATACAGGTTCGCTCTCAGCCCTGTCCCGGTTTTTTGTTGTTTAACTCCATGCATCTGCCATATATATATTTATTTCCACTTTCTAAATACTGACGTTTAAGGCGCCGTGTGCATGGAGAAACGTGAGTTCAAAAAAAATAGCAATGATGAACGTAGAATCCATTATATGCAAAGCGATCATTGTAGGGAGCACATTTGCAGCCCCGGCCCGCTTAAGAGATACCGGGAAGGGTCGTAGCTCAGCGGCAGAGAATTTGCATTGGACGCAGATGGTCCCAGGTCCAACCCCCGGCATCTCCAGGTAAGGCGGAGAGTTCATTCTGAAACTTTGGATAAAGCGCTGCCAAGTCAGTGTAGACTATACTGAGCAATAGTCTGATATGGATAAATACGACCGCTTCTTGCCACGCGCTTAGGTTGCTATGTTGAGAGTAAGTCCCGCTGAACTCACCAAAGGAAGCCCGCAAAAGATTCCAGCCTTAGACATTTTTGAAAGCTCAGACCTTCCCTGGGATAAAGATTAAATAAGACCCCACAGAATGTAGTGAGTTCGATCAACCAGACGCGCAGACCAAGGCTGTTTCTACAGTAATGACTTGAAAGTGAGCCCTGCGGTGACCAACGGTGCTTAAGCCCCATATATAAGTGCGCACAGGATTGCTGTCTGAATACCTCAAACTGAGGCCTGTTGTGTTCCAATGGCGCTTACTCTCGTGCAAGGTAGGGTTAGGATTGCAGCCTTAACGTGCTACACTTCGGCTGGATCGTGGCAAGAAGACTCAACCAGAGTTTGTCCGCTTTAAAGTCGAGGTCCTAGCTGGGAGTACCTGGTGTGTTTGTGTATATAACTTTGTGTCATTAAAAACTAATAGGAACAACTTGCACGCACACCCCTGTCTGTCTGACCAAAGGTGTTTGCACGTTACATTGAAGGAACACAATCTCTGTACACAAATGGTTGAGGTGCACATGTGCACGGTTATTCATATGCCACCTTCATGGAGTGAACAGTACAGGCAGTATTCACATGTTAACTTTCCAGGAATCTGCAGCTGAACTGTTCAAATCAAGTGTACACTCCGTCGCACAAACACCAAACCCATTGTATCTGTGTTCAGTGCAGCGTGTGAACACGTCTTCTGTCTTTCTAGATAGAGGGTTTTCTCTCTCTCTCTCTCTCTGTGTGTGTGTGTGTGTGTGTGTTTGTGTGTGTAGTTTTGAGTCAATCCCCACCCCCGTCACGTTAGCCGGTTTCAGAAAAAGAACCTCTATTTTTAAAAAAGTAGGCGGGAGAAGAAAGGTTTTTACTAAGGGTATAGCCACACCTCAGATCTAAGCAGGACGAAAGCCCCAGGGTGTCCAGGAGACTGTTGTGGGGAGGGACGGAAGTAAAGGATCTGTAACAGAATCCGCGCAGGCCCAGAGGTGGGGAACCTGTGGCCCTCCAGATGTTCTCCAGCTCCCATCATCTCTGGCGACTGACCTGCTGTCTGGGGCTGATGGGAGCAGGAGTACAGCAAGATCTGGAGGGCTACAGAAGCCTTGGTGTAGAAGGGAGTTGTGCGAAGCTGAACAACAACTTCGCAGTTGTGCGAAGCTAAACAACCACACCAGGGGGAGCTAACGTGGTGTCAGGAGTGCCAGCTTGGCCCCGCGACCGTGGATGCCCGGGGCAATGGGTGCCATGTAGCGTGCATGGCCCTGGCACCGACATTTGTGGGTGCCCGACCCCTTGTTGTGTGTGCTCGGCTTAGGCACCCAGAGTTGGCACCTGTGCGTGGTGCTCTCCAGGGGTTATGGGCTGCTACTCCCTTAAGCCCCAGAAAGCAAAGCCAGTGCTCAGGGATGGTGGAAGTGGAACCCCTCCCCCCCCCCAGCCTGGAGGGCACCACACTGACGACCCCCTGATTTCTCTGTGGTGAAATATAGAGGCACGCTGTGTAAAATCACCGGCTCTTTTGTCTTCACCACCATCCAGCAACAGCGCCGCCGCTCCAGGAAACTAGAATCTATGCAGCTCACTTTGTTTATTCGGAAGTAAGTCCCTTTGAGTTCCAGGGGGCTTACTCCGGGGTAAGCGTGAGTAAGAGATCCGGGTCCTGGAGCCAGCTGTGGGAGGCGGATCGGAGCCGGCCCGGCCCGGCAACAAATGGTGCCTTTTAGAGGAGGCTTGGCATATGTCTTTTAATAGAGCAGCATCCTTATCCTTGCTTCGCCCCGCCCCAGCACCGAAAGCTCCAGAGAAAAATTGTTCCCCTCCCCTTTCTTTTAAAGAAAATGTACAGTATAGAGGAACAGGCAGGCCGATCTGCTTGCAAGTGATCATTGTTCAGGCTTTTTTCACCCACGCGCCTGCCCTTTTTGTGGGAGACGCAAAGAACATCAAGGTAGCCCTTGAAATGTAGCCACACATGCAGGGGGTTGCTGGTGAAGACTGGCATTTAAAGGGAAGGTTCAACCGGCCGTGTATTCTAACTCGGGAGAATTGGGCACCAGGTTCACACGGGCGAGGAAGACACCGGCCCAGCCACCTCTTGAGAGAGACAGAATTATCTAAATGCTTTCCTTGAGGATATGTATTCTGTACAAATCTAGAATACCAGGGAAGGGTAATTTCCACTTCTCTTATTCAAGGCAGGCAGGATAGTTAGACAGGAAGACAGATGTTGTAGTCCTAGGCAACTTACCCCACAGAGCCTCAGTGGGGCTTGCTTCTGGTAAGCAACAAGCATAGGGTGGGGTATCAGGCCCATTAGCTTCAGTGGGCGAGTTGAGCACAATTTTTCAAGTCTTCCCACTGAAAACATTGGGATTTAAGAGTGCTTAACTTTGGCTGCACACTGGACACTGTATAATATACATCACACACTGCTTTGTACACGCCCTGGAAGGAAAGGTGTGCGACGAGCTCTGGAATTCAGACTGGTCCCTCTTTAACTTTCCGCTTTCCTCCCTCCTGCCATCTTGAGCACACGCTGTGCATGCTTTTTAAAAAACTACGCGCACCCATCTACCCACAGCACGTCTGTTGTGTGCAGATATTGTAAAGGAATACTGTATACAGCAGAACTTTTTAACCTTCAGTCAGATCCGATGCATGTTTACTCAGAAGTAACAGCCACAGAATTCAGGGGAACTTGCTCCCATGATACCCACACGCACATACACATCACTGACCACATAACTTAGGAACGTCTGTATACGCGTATATACAGTGTACACACACACACACGCTTACAAATAACCTGTTATGTGCCCACATACAATGTATACGCCTCGCTCTCGGTTCATTCACAAGCAGTTTTATCTATTGATAGACCCTTCTGACTGCAAAGGGTTCCTACGAATGGATTCTTTTGGGTGTTAATTTCCGATGAAGTTTCCTTGCGCTTGCGCACATCTCCCCAGGGCGTGGCTACGTATAACTTTTTTGGGGGGGCGGGGTGTCTCCTGTCCCAAACTAGAAAGTGTCTCCTGGGCGCGCCTCACTCTCTTCAGAAGATCCCAACTTCCATACCCCGAGCGCCTTTCTTTCCGTTGGACTGCGATCACGCTCCATCACCTCTTGAATTTTGCTCCCCAGGGAACCCAGCTGTTTTAGCAAAGAACATTTGCTTGCCATTTAATCCTTGGGTTCCAATTCCTCCTTCCCCTCCGACAACAGGAAAATAACGCGTTTTGCTGTTTCTTCCTGGATTTAAAACTCGAAGCAAAACACTGGAAAACAGAGGAGGGAGGAATATGGAAGTTATGCTAACCTGTAGTTCTGCGTGAAAGCAAGCATGGTGTTAGGCTGAGGGCAAAATTCATGGATCCTCTCTCTCTCTCTCTCTCTCTCTCTCTCTGTGTGTGTGTGTGTGTGTGTGTGTGACACGTTTCTTGTAGCGGGGTTTGGGTGCGTGGATTACACGTGGAAGGGGCTGGTAGTGGAGGGGGTATGACGCGCAATCTCCGCTGCTTTTGGAGGGCTGCTGACTCTCCCGGTTTACGCTCCATGGCATCCTTACCCGAGGGCAAACCTCCTGAACAACGCGAGGCTTACTTCCGAATAAACGTCAATAGTCTCGGGCTTGTAAGTCTCCTTTCTAACGGATTTAGCAGCTGGACAAGGGTCAAGAACCCTCTTCCTTTGGGCAGACAAAGCGCGCGCGCGCGCTTTACTCGCTAACTGTCCAGAAGGAAATCTGACCCACCCACAAAACCAGAGACGATGTTGCTTCAGATATTTTTCAGCATTTATTTCCAGCCTTCAGAGCGACAAGTGCGAAGGAGCACTTTAAATTTCCTATGCTATTGGCTTGTGCATTATTTGTGCACTGATTATTTTTTAGAGCTTGGTACATAACCCCTCGTTTTGTGGCTCGCTCTCGGCTGGAGATCCTGAGCACTCTTTCTTCGGAGTAAAGCCCTATAGAATCCAACATATTTTCCTTGCCAAGAATGCAGGGTACTTTGGAAGGAAGTCGCACCTGAAAATGTCAATGGACTGTCCGAATGAGCAATAAGCTTAAGGCGAAACTTTTACTTGGAAGCAAATCCCACTGACTACTAGATAAAATGAGCAATTGGGGTTCCACTCTGCGCTTTACCACTTTCGCTGTCCCATAATATGTTTTAATTTCAGGGTCCTCTCATGTTCCCAACACCTTTCCTGCCCATTTGGTCGAGACATCCCGCCCTTTTCACCTTATACTGTCTAATTCTCTCTCTCTCTCTCTCTCTCTCTGTGTGTGTGTGTGTGTGTGTGTGTGTGTTTTGGTTCTGACGCTGATGTTCTGTTCCAGCATCTCTTCATCTTGTATCACTGCCTCTCATGGCCTGCTTTGCAGCTTCTTTTTCTTCCTGTCATCTTATCTATCCATCGATTCATCCATCCATCTAACAATTTATCTATGCGCGCGCCTGGGCGCGCGCGCACACGGAGCCATTCCAAGCGGATGTCATTTTTCACTCCCAACACTTCTCGCCTGAGAAGCGCAGAAGAGTGAGGAGGAAGAGACGGGAGAAGCGGGGAGGGGGTGGAAAAGGCTCCTCTGGGGATGCTGACCAGCTTCTCTTTGCTGTGTGCCCTTTGAAAATATAGTTATTTTTTATTATTATTAAAAAACCCAGTTTGTTGCTTAAGTGCGCCCCCTGGTCTTCCTGTTCTCAAGAAGGGCTGCAGGGCTGGAGAAGGTAAACCAAGGAAGGCCCCCTCCCCTGCGTCCCAAGCTCAGCCACCGGGAGAATCCAGCCTGTCGATTCTAGGGGGGAGCCGTTGCTGTGCTGCCGCCAGACGCGCTGCAAGGAAGGAAGGAAGC